TAAAATCAATAAAGGAAAAAAGAGATTTGGGAATAATAAACAAAAAATGGTAATTGTAGTTAAGGTAGGAGATGAGGTTATCCAGGGAAAGTATAGTAAGAAAAGAGGACTGGAAGGGAACTCAAGAGGCACACCAATATATTACTGGACAGCAGAGGAAAGGGGATCTTGTTAAGAAGGGATAAGCTGAAGAGGGCAAAAAGCCCAGAAGTGTGAGGATTTCAAAGGAACCAATAGATGAGCCTGAAATGGCCATTGGACTTGGCAAAAAAAAAGACATTTGACATGAAGAACAACCATATTAATATACTGTTGAGAATATCCATTTAGCTCTGGATTCAGCAGTAAATGGGGAATAAAGAATTAAGGACAACGAATATGAATGTCTTTCAGAGATTTGGCTGTGAATAGGGAAGAATAAGCTAAAGCTGGATGTAGAAGAAAGGACATGAGATCACAGTGAGAATGGTGTCTTGGTGTTGGAGGGGATGAGAGAGTTTATGCATATTGAAATGTTAACATGGGAAGGAGCCAGAAAGGGAGGAAGAAGAAAATCCCTATGCAGACCCAGAGGGATGAGATCAAGCACACACCAGATTTTAGCCTTAGATGGTAGAATCACATCTGCAAGATTTTGTCAGGAAGAAAGTGATTATTATGTAGGTAAGTTTTAAGGTGTTAAGGTAAAATTGACAGAGTGCTTGCCTCATGTCTTCTATTTTTTTTTCTTACATTATCTACTGAATGTGAAGAGGGAAGTACTAGGCCAGGAGGTTTGAGGAAAGTGAGAAATGCTGATATTAACTATAGAACAAGATAGAGAACTCACCAGGCAAACTGAGGGTCACAGGTGGCTTTGAGGGTCTAATTGAGATAAGAGACAGAATTTGTAGTGGCAGCAGTTAGTGATCAAACGACTTCCTATAGCAACACTCAGCATTCTGTTGTAGGAATAGAGATGGGAGATAGTTGATTGGGGTTTTGCTCTGAGATGAAAGGATGACAAGGTGAAAATAGGACTCAGCAAAAGTGATTGGATGAATGGTCCATAGAGTCTAGACTGCCTAGGGATTGAAGTGAAGATGGGTTGCTAAAGGAGAGTATAAAAGGGCCAAAGGACTGAACGTCAGTAAGGAATGTCTGAATTTGAGTGGAGCAGTTGGGAAGATGGGTACAGGGTGTGATAGTAGGCCTGTTGAGAGGCGAAGGTTATTTCAGTTGAGATAGTCAATGAACTGAGAAGTCATGTTATATGGGTAGCTTTCATGTGCAATGACATCTCCTAGAACGAAGACAAACCAGGAGTGAGGAGGGGAGAAGACTAAGCCAGGTGCCCAAATATAATGAATAGTGGAGATTGTTAAATTACCTGAATTAGGGGGGGTATAGTGTGATAATTCCACATATCTTCACAGAGACAAGTGTATTTACATGAAAGTGAAGGAGTAATAGTTTGCAAATGGCTTTGAGGAAAAGAGGACACTGGCACCAGGCAGGGTACATGGAATGTAAGGGAATGAGCAACATATATGTGTGAAAGCTGCAGGGTGGAGAATTTTTCAGAAAGAGACAGATTACAATTAAGCCTGGGAGCAGGGAAAGACTCTCTGCTGGACTGAGAAAGGAGAAAGTTTTGATTATGGGGAACAGGGCTCCAGATAACTATGACTAGGGGCAAAAATTTCAGTTGGCTCTGATTCAAGTAATTGTGAGCTCTGAATTTATACCCAAGATGAAATAGGATCTCAGTTTCTAGGTGCATGAGTACTAGTACTTCAGTCAGAATATGTCATGAATGTAAAATGTCCCAGGCACTATGTTTGGGGTACATTAGTGAATGAGGCAGGCTGAGTCTTTGCTCTTGAGCTGAGAATCTAGTGACATAGTTGGACACATAAACTTAGGTCCATGGCAATGTCTAAATGGAACGATTTGAGAGCTCTGCACAAGGGCACCTAGCCCCACAAAAAGATTTTGTACATGATGATTGCACATGAATTAAGTCAGGTAAAAGGAACAGGGAAATGGGAATGAGCATCCATGCAAAGACATAGAATAGCTAATAAAACAACAAGGTATAAATATGGTGAATGATAAGTAACTCGTGTTGCTAGGATCTTCACTATGAGAAAAACGGTGGTGAAAACACAACAAGAATCATATCTTGGAATGCTTCATAGGCCTTGTTTTGGCCACTGAAGTGTTTCAGGAGAGAGTGAAAAAGATAAGTATATAGCCCTGGCCGGTATGGCTCAGCGGTTGGAGCGTTGGCCCGAGGACCAAGGAGTCGAGGGTTTGATTCCAGTCAAGGGCATGTGCCTTGGTTGCTGGCCCTGGTCAGGGTCGTTCGGGAGGCAACCAATCACTGATGTTTCTCTCTCTCTCTCCCACTCCCATTCTGTCTGAAAATAAATGGAAAAATATCCTCGGGTGAGGGTTAAAAAGAAAAAAGATAAGTATGTAGGTGAATGCCAGCAGGGTGGAGATGGATTTAAGGTGTCCACTTGCTAAAGGTTGGCTTCCCTATTAACAAGGAAAGTGAGGCAGATGCTAAAAAGATTAAATAACAGCTTCCCATAACTTCTGGAAGGAGGAGGCAGGGCAAATTCCTCACCAAATTCTCAGCTTTGGGCTACATTCAGCCACTTACCTGTTCTGTGCTCCTTCCTCATAGAGCCCAGCATCTCACAGCCATTCAGAGCCTCCAGTCTGGTACTCTATGCCCAGCTATTTGAACTTGAATCAATTGCCCTGATCTTCAGTTCTTGAATTAGTAAATAATGTTTTATTACCTTCAGCATTAGACATTTACATAACAAATTCACATTTATTTTAATTTGTATTAAATTTATTGAGGTGACTGGTTAATAAAGTTATGTTTCAGGTGTATATTTCTATAATACATCATCTGTATATAGTATTGAGTGTGCACCATCCAGTCTCCTTCCATCACCACTTATTACCTCCTATAATGAATTCACATTCAGATGTGAATGTCTGAGAGCCTCCTTTCACATTGTTTTTGTTTCATATATTTTAGGGTAGTACTTAATAAGTTTTAAAAACCATATATTTTAAAAAATATTAGTAATAAATGTCCATTGTTGAAAATTTGAAAAATGGAGAAAATAAAAACCACTCATAATCACATCACTGAGTTAATTATTGCAAACATTTTGTTGTGTAGACTTTTGAATTCACTGTGTGTGCGCGCATGTGTATGTATACATACTTTCTGAACATCTGTTGGAAATAAAAATGCCCTTATACTAGTTATAGCAGTATCAAGAATAGCAGTATCCCATAGTTTTGTGGTTTATCAACAGACTGTGGTTTATCAACTTGATGTAGGGAATGGTCCCTCACTTATGTACTCTAAAGTCTGCACTACAATGCTGACATCCCAGATGTTAAGCATTTTGTTAGTTGGTTGATTGCACTCATGTTTGCTCCCCCTTTCTTCACACCTAATACCAGGATGACTGAATTACTTACCTGCCCGGGCATATAGCTAAAATTTATTTCAAGAAGTTCCTCCCCTCACCCAACAATTTCATTTTAATGATCAATCAACATTTAGTGACAGGTTACTATGTGCCAGGCACTGTCTGAAATCTTAAGGATACAAAGATGCATAAATCAAGGCTCCTGGTTCAAGGATATCAGAGTATAAGTTACTAAATTTATCTGTTAAAAAATTGAGACTCTGAAACATCAAACAATAATTTGTGAAATATTAATTTTTTCCTTTAAACTGTCATTTTAAAAATGTGCAATTAAAGTAATATTATGAAATATAGCAATAAAACTTCCAGCATTTTCCTTTGTCACTAAATGATTATATTTTGAATTTTCTTTATTTTTTAATTCTCACCTGAGGACATTTTTCTATTTATCTTTAGATAAAGTGGGAGAAAGGGGGAGAGAGAGAAACATCAATCACATCCACTGATTGCCTCCCACAGGACCCCTACCAGGGCCAGGAGGAATCCCAACCAGATAGTGCCGTTCACCCAAACCGCTCCTCTCCGTCCCCCCCCCCCCCAACAGCTGAGCCAAACCGCCAGGGCACATTTATAATTTTTTAAACACCTTGGCACACACACCTATGAGTTTTAATAATTTGCATTTATTGTGCTGTATGTGCTAGGCACTGCTAAACCCTTTTCAATATCTTACTTAATTTTCAAAACTGATGAGGTAGGTTTTATTGTCCTCATTTCACCAGTGAGAAACTCGGGTAATGTGTCCAAAATCACTGAGCAAATAGTGCAGGTTTTCAAAGCCTGCCCTGATTTCAACCCATTTTTAAAAACTATTTTGATTAATTGGCTCCCAATTCTTTGGATCACTAGTTCTTCGGAGGAAGTTTGTTGAGTGCCCGAGTAAATGACCAGGCCCTACTGAATTCTAGTTCTAAACTAGGCTTCTGAATCTGGCGCTTCCTTTCAGAGTGGACAAGATGATCAAGAACACACGTTTCACCCTGGCCCGTGCGGCTCAGCTGGTTACACCAGAGTCCTCGCTTACACCAGAATGTGGCGGGTTCCTTTCCCCGTCAGGGCACATACCCGGGTTGCGTGCGATGGGGCGCCTGCGGGAGGTGACCTATCAGTGTTTCTCAAATCAATTAAAAAAAAAAAAAAAAGATGCACGTCTCAGGGTCTGTTCTTGAAAGGGCTTTGCAAACCCGAAGAACCTAAAGCACTGAAGAGGCGCCACTCAAGTCTGTCTTTAGCAGGTCGGGGTCAGCAAGAATCTGGCGAGTCTTGAACAAGAACACGAAGCCAACCTCGGGGTTCCATCCAGTTCTACCCTACTGTAGGGACCCTCTAGTTTAGGCGCCGTGAGCAGTCTGCGCACCAGGAACACGCCCCGCGAGCAGCTGGTGCTCAGGAACTACCACGTGGGACTCGGCCTCCCCCGGGCTTTCTCCTTCCGGGGGCAAGGCTTTGCTACAGGAAGTGACGAACGCTGGGTGGGCCCGAGGGGTAAAGCTGTCTCTTCCTCTCCACGCGGTGGACGAGATCCGCAGGCCTCTACAGCTCGTGCCGAGCGATGCCGGGGAAACTCCTTAGTGACGCAGATTTGGAATCAGACGCAGCCATGGGAAAAGTGGAGAAACCGCGAAAGCAAAATGAGAAGGTGCCACCGAGGGCGGAGGGATCTGGGGCAAGGCAGGGCGAGAGGCCGGGGCGCTGAGAGGAGCAGGGCCGCGGGGGACCGGAGGGGAGGGTGCGCCGGCTGGGAGCGTTCGTAGCGCGTCGCCTACCCGGTTTGTCCCGAGACCCGCGTGGGTCCCGCCCAGGCCGTCCGGGGGTAGTGTGTTCGGCCGGCGGTGGAAGCGCGACCGCGCTCCGGAATCTCTGGCCGAGACCTGGACCGATCGGAACTGGAGGGAGGGCCAGGTGTCTCACGTGGTCCGGGGCGCTGGGTGTCCCGCAGCCGGTGCACAGAGTTGGACGTTCACGGTTAGGGCCCACGTTTTGGCTCAAGCTCAGCTCTGACTCCAGCGAGTGCGTGCGCGAGGGGAATTGTTAGTCAAGTCAAGGTAGGGACTGACGCTCTAGACTAGACTGGGGAGGCTAACCCGCTCGCACACGTGGGCGCTGTCAGTGGGGACATCTTCATCCTATTAAGGGAGGTCTAGTTTTCCGGTAAGTAGTTCTTAGAAAATAAAGTAGTTCAGTTCCTCCTAATGTGTATTGCCCAGGTTACCCGTTGAAATGTAAAGCAGATTTCGGTGTTAACTGTACACCATATTTTTGAGACAGGTCAGCAGAGTGCAGTCCTCTACTTTGACAGCTGTCTGCCTCTTTGCTCTTGTTTCCTTAGATAGTGATTGAACTGTGACTGAGTGTTCTGAGATAAGGTCAGAATTTCCCTGAACTTGTGTTGTACACGACTTAGAATTTTCTTTCCTTGCTGTTTACCAACAGCAGTATTTTGGCCTTGTAGAAAGCCAGGGAGCACAGACTTGCCTTCACAGGTGGGGAGGACGTTTACCTTCACTGACTGCATCAGTGAACGTGTTGAGAGGTGTCGGATGCTCAAATTAGGAGGGACATGGCCAAACTCCATTATATTCCAAAGGAGACCATCTGGGATGAAAGAACTGAAGTCATGGGAGGTGGGGAGGGGGAACCAGGTTATTTTTCAGACATCTGAAGGACGTCAGGTGGGAGAGGTTACCTTCATCCATGATTTGAGAGCAGAGGCCAGGCCTGAAGTCTTAGGGAGGCAGATTTCAGCTCAATACAATACTCTTCTACTTCTGGGATGGTGCTGGGGCTGTCAGAGAGGTTTTAACAGGCCACACCTGTCTGTCTTCAGTAATACAGAAAGTTGGAGATGGTCAGACATTTCGGGTAGGAGCCATAGTCTGGTTTGGTTTTGAGGTTTCATTCATTCCATGTCCCTGTAACTTGTGGCCCTTCCCCTTCTTTAAATTAGGTTCATCTTTTTTACACACGAGGTGATAGATTGTGAGTTTTTATAGCTTTTTGGTTCATGAAATGTCTCTGTAAATTCATTTGCATGTATGAATATAGGCAAGGCAGATGTTATGAATCCTTGTTTTACCTGTACAGGAATTTTAGGAAAGGAAAGTCTGTTTAACATCTTCCATTTGTGGATATATATGGCCTTATTACTTTGATCAGAATTAAACTGTACTTGATCACTTGCTATAGTATACTTAGTTTAGAGCCTGTTGGAGCATCCCATGAACCACCCCAAATCCTCTGTGGAACTTTGATTTTACAACTTGTTTGACCAACATGATTTGAGTAGTTACTAAGAGGCATCCTCTTCCAAGCTAATGAAATATTGATTTATATTTATCTCCATACATCTAAGAAATAGTATTTAAAAAGCATACTGTTTGATTTTTGCCTTATTGCAAAGTGGAAGTACAAATGTTGAAAATTGCCTCCAAAATTTTGTTCTTTGTAGTTGTGTGATCTTGAAGTAAACTGGAATTGATGTGTTATACAAATGTATCAGAATCTTTGTTCAGTGTTCGTATTCTCTTTCTTTCTTTTTTTTTTAGAAAGGTAAAAAAGAGAAGTCAAAATCTAATAAGACTGAAGAGATAGCAGAAGAAAAGGAAGAAGCTGTTTCCCCGAAAGCTAAAAAAGTTAAAAAGAAAGCAGGGCCTTCTGAGGTTGAAGTGAATTCTCCTAAAACCAAAAAGGCAAAAAAGAAAGAGGAGCCATCCCAAGATGATGTGATTTCTCCTAAAACCAAAAGTGTAAAAAAGTCAAAGGAACCCACTGGAAAGGAAGTTGTTACTTCAAAAACCAAAAAAGTGAAAAAAAATGAGGAGCCTTCTGAAGAAGAAGAACTAAGTGCTCCTAAGCCCAAGAAGATGAAGAAAGAAAAGGAAATGAATGGAGAAATTGGGGAGAAAAGCCCCAAACTAAAAAATGGATTCTCTCATGCTGGACTTGACTCAAACTCCAGTGAAGCTGCTAGTGAAGAAAGTAACAACGAGTTGGAGCAGGTAAGGTTTATATACTTAGCATGTGTCTTTCATTGTTGTCATTTCATATAAATAAGTAGGTAATCTCTGCATGTTATATAATAATGGGAAATTTGATTTGTTAGCACATCATGGGGTCCTTTGAGCAGGGTCAGAATGCTTCCTTTGCAAGTAAGCTGATCTGTTTACATTTGGGGAAAATCTTCTCTCCAGATCTGGTCAGTTTATTTGCAAGTCAGAAATCTGTAGGAGGGATATAGTCATGCAAATGGCCCTAGCTTCCCTCTGAGGGGTTTCACCAAATAAATCATGATTAAGTAGGATCATAAGTCTCTTTGTTTAGTCCATTAACTAACTTGAGTTGAACAGGATGATTAAATAAATCTGGCCATTTGGAAGCTTATTCTGTTAGCTTTCAGAATCTTAGTCAAGAAAGAAAAATTCTAATTTATTTATTGTATTTTTTTTTAATCCTCATCCGAGGATATTTTTCTATTTATCTTTAGATAGAGTGAGAGGGAGGGAGAGAGAAACATCAAAGTGAGAGGAACACATCAACTGGTTGCCTCCTGCCCAAGAACTGAGGTACATGCCCTTGACCAGAATTGAACCCATGACTCATTGGTCCATAGGCCAGCGCTCTAACTGCTGAGCCAAACTGGCCAGGACGAATAATCCTAATTTAACAAATAATTTTCTGTTCGATGTAGGTTGTGATCAACATTTAAGAATTGTTTTTGATTATAAAAAAACTAGTATGTGATGTAGAGAATTTAGGAAATATAGAAAAAAAAATTTTTAAGTCTCTAGAATTTTTGCATTCAGTAATTAGTGTATATTAAGCACTTTTTATGTGGAGCTATTTATTTTAATTATTTATTGTTCAATAAAAATATTAAATTTTCTTAATGGTTACATAATCCATCATATCAATTTTTAGAAATTCATATAATTATTTCTTGGTTGGGCATTCAGATTTTTTACTATCAGTTAATGCCACCATTTGTTCCTTATTTCTATGGATGTATATGAGACATGTTGCTGTGGAATAGGGCTAATGACCTGTGCAACAGTATACTCGTTTGGAATGGCTATGGAATAGTTCTTAGTTGAGACTGATTCTGCCCTCACTAGCCATATACAGTGTATGTGTAGTATATGTTTGCTGCAGATTTTTCTTTTACAGTTTTACAGATTATTTCTTTTTTTTATCCTCACCTGAGGACATTTTTGCATTTGTCTTCAGATAGAGCAGGAGAGAAGGGGGGAAGAGAGAGAGAGAAACATCGATGTAAGAGAGACACATCCATTGAGTGGTTGCCACTCACATGACCCCAACCGGGGCGGGGACAAACTGCAACTGAGGTACAAGCCCTTAGTGGGAACCGAACTCAGGACTCTCTGGTCCATGGGCCGATGCTCTAACCTCTGAGCCAAATGGCCAGGGCGATTATTTCTTTTTTAGATCTTGATTTACCTACCAAGGTTTTTGTATATTTTTGGTTGATTGAGAAGAGATATTTTAGAATAAATAGTTTTCTTTTAGTTACTTTCCCATAAGATTTCTCTGTATTAACCTGTAGGGTCAAAATTTTTTTATTTCTTTCTGTGGCCCTTTGTTTAATAGGAAATACCTGTGGAACAAAAAGAAGGCGCTTTCTCTAATTTCCCCATATCTGAAGAGACTATTAAACTTCTCAAAGGTAATATTCTTAGAAATATTGTATAAATTAGAACATACTGTTTGGAATCACCCCACTGTTTTTGTTGAGATGGACTAGGACATGTTCTTATATGTAACCATATAATGAAGTAGGTGAATATATTCAACCAAGGACTACACTAGTGATGGCCTTTGTTGACTCTGGAACAGGTGGTTAACATTTATTCAGTACAAGACGTATATTCAGAAGTATAATGGCTGATAGTGCTGCTGCAATTAAACACTTGATGTCATGTTAATATTTTCTTTTTTTATCCTCTTCCACTTGAGTTATCTCTAGGTTAATGATACTAGCCTGGCTTAGAATCCCTCTTAGCAGTGTGCCTGTGAATGAGTGAGGTGGTCACAGATGCTCAGCTAGGTGTTTTCTGAGCCAGGTGTGGCACAGTCTGAACTTGGACTGCAAAGCACCTGATTTTCAGGCATATGCTGACCAGTGGGTGAGAGTTTATGACAAGCGACTTAATCTCTTAATAAAGATTTACTGTAATTCAGTGCTTTATAAAGTTTGTTGATATTTTTTAGTCAGGTGGATTCTTCACTACCAAAATATATTTGAACCTGACTTTGTAAAATGTTGAGCAGAAGGTAGAACTTCTCTAGTATGGCTGATATTTTAAGAACTGTTAGATAACATGGTTAATTTGTTTACAGGCCGTGGGGTGACCTTCCTCTTTCCTATACAAGCAAAGACATTTTTCCATGTGTATAGTGGAAAAGATTTAATTGCACAGGCGCGGACAGGAACCGGGAAGACATTCTCTTTTGCTATCCCTTTGATTGAGAAGCTCCTGGGAGAAATGCATGACCGGAAGAGAGGCCGCGCCCCTCAGGTAACTCTGTCATAGCTTTAACACAGACCCCAGGGGCTCCAAATCCACACAGGAAAAACATCTCTTGGGCATTGTTTACAAACAATGTTGTTGTTTTTTTTTTTTTCATCCTCACCCGAGGACATTTCTTCCATTTTTTGTTCAGATAGAGTAGGAGGGAGAGAGAGAGAGAGAGAGAGAGAGAGAAACATCGATGTGAAAGGGACACATCGAGTGGCTGCCACCCGCACAACCCATCCAGGGCCGGGGACAAACCGCAACCGAGGTACTTGCTCTTAGCAGGAACCAGACCCAGGTCTCTCCAGATCTCAGGCTGGTGCTCTAACCGCTGAGCCAAACCAGCCAGGGCCAAACAATGTTTCTTACTGGGTTCTCCTTAAAGCCTTTTTTGGGTATTTACTGTAGATCTATATCTGCAGGTAAACCAAGATAACTTTTTCAAAGTGTTGGCCAGAGCTCTGGCCCGGTAGCTCAGGTGGTTAGAGCATCATCCCAGTACACCAAGGTTGTGGATTAGGTCTCCAGTCAGGGCACATACAAGAAGCAACCAGTGAATGCATAAATAAGTGGAACAGCAAACATGTTTCGCTCTCGCTCTTTCTTTTCTCTTTCTCTCTCTAAAATCAATTTAAAAAATTAAAAACCAGTATTGGCCAAAGATCCATTGTATTTAAATATTGTAATGCATCCCATGGTTGTGATCACCTGTATTATTTATTTAATGTTCATAATGTTTCTTTCAAACTCTTAGATGTCCCTGGGGCTCACAGGTTTGGTCACATGTCTATCTTTTTTGCTTGAAGTGGAGAAAGTGTTTGTTTTTAATTATTTATTTATTTTGTAAAGACAGAATCATTTTTTTCTATTGATTGATTTTTTTTAGAGAGAGGAAGAGAGAGCCCGGCCAGTGTAGCTCAGTGGTTGAGTGTTGTCCCATACACCAAGAGGTTGCCAGTTTGGTTCCCGGTCTGGGCACATGCCCAGGTTGTGGGCCCACTCTGCAGTGAGGGACATGCAGGAGGCAGCCAATAGATGTTCTCTCTCATTGATGTTTCTGTCTTTCTACTCTCTAAAATCAAAAAAGAAAAAATATATATTTTTAAAAAAGGAGAGAGGCAAAGAAATAGAGAAACATTAATTTGTTGTTGCAATTTTTTATGCATTCATTGGCTGATTCTTGTATGTGCCCTGACCCAGGATCCAACCTAAACCTTGGCTTATTGGGAAGATGTTCTAAGCAACTGATCTACCCAGCCAGGGCAAAAGGGTTTTTGGTTTTTTTCCTTTATTGATTTTTTATTTTATAGAGAGAGGGGAAAGGACAGGGAGAGAGAGATAGAAACATCAGTGAGAGAGAACATCAGTTGGCTGCCTTCTGCATGCCCCCCACCGGGGATTGGGCCCACAACCTGGGCATGTGTCCTGACTGGGAATCGAACTGGGGAACTCTTTGGTGCATGGATCAATGCTCAACCACTGAGCCACACTGGCTGGACAATCAAGGGTTTTTTAGTAGCAATGCATAAATAGGAGGAGAGGCACTCAGAGAGGTAAAGAGACCAAGCCTCCTTACCTCCCCGAAATGCCTGTGTATCACATTGGCCAGAGTTTCTTGTACCTCAAATTTCTGACCCCACCATACTTGTTTACTGGCCTTAACTTGTGTCCATGCTCCCGCCTCATTTGTTTATTTGTTTACTGCTAACAAATGCAGCAGAAAAGGAAATATTCTAGCACCTGGAATACCACCTGGCACATAGTAGATATTCAGTAAATATCTATTGGATGGATGTATTAGTTCATATTTGTGTCAGGTTGTTACACTGCTAGAGCATCTACAGTGGTTTCTGTTGTGTGTCCTGCTGGATCAAACTCAGACTACTCCAGAGTTCAAAGCCCCTCATCATGTTGGCCCTGCCTTACTTGTCCGACTTCCATTCTTCTTCAAATTTACTGTGGTGTTGAGGTTCGGGCCACAGGTTTTGGAGCCTGACTCTGAATTTAAATCCAGTCTTAGCCTCTTCTTAGCCTTTGGTTTGAGAAATCTCTTGTATATTATTGTAGGTATTATAGATGAATACCTTGTGAGAATTAAATGCGAGTAATGCGTATTAAACATTTAGTAGAGCCTGAGAAACAGTAAAAGCACAAATATTAGCTGATGTTCTCAGCAGTGTCACTCCTGCTCCAGGTGTTCCTTTCCTGGCGTGCTGTTCTTTAAGTACTAGCAGCTCCATGACACGTTCCCAGTTCCTTCAGCCTGCTCCGTGCAGCCCTCCTGGAGCAGTAGCTACCTTTGCATACCTACTTTTCTTCTGATTGGTAAGGTCACAATTGTTTGCCTGAGTATGTTTGTCAGGAACTATGTTTTATGATCCTCCACACATGCAGCACATTACAAACACATAATAGATGTTTTGAAAATACTTGTTAGGGTGAGGTGGACCTTCTGATGAATTCCAGATTTGTTGAGAAACAATACTGCATAATACTACGAATTCAATTTAGTTTTATCTTTTTAGGTACTTGTTCTTGCACCCACAAGGGAATTAGCAAATCAAGTAAGCAGAGACTTCAGTGACATCACCAAAAAGTTGGCTGTGGCTTGTTTTTATGGTGGAACTCCCTATGGAGGTCAAAGTAAGTATATCTAAAAGTGAAGGAAGGAAAATGCCATTGGATCCAACCTTGACATCTGGCTTTACCTCCTCTCGTCATGTTGTTATTGTTTAAAGATAGTCAGTAACATGGTCTTACATAATGATGTATCAAATCCTGTGTGTCTCCTTAGGACTTGTATTGTCGATGTTTATCTAAAGACTGCAAAGGTATCTTACTGAACACAAGGGCAGAGTCCAGTTGGGCCCTTGGAACTAGAAACTCAGAATTCAAGATTACTCTTTTTTTAAAACCTTTTTATTGAATTTATTGGGGTGATACTAGAAGTTCAAGTTGCTTGATTTTCCTGTACTTTTGTTTGCTCATGTATAAAATAGCATTACTAAATCACCCTGCAGTGGTATTGTGAGGATTGAATTGAGTGATGTATGCAGAGTGCCTGGTATCACTAGATTGCAGTAGCCAATCAGTCAAAAGCTGCATTAGTACCATCTCATACCAGTCTGCTTTCCCGAATGTCTCTGTATCTTCTTGGAATACTTGCCCTTTTAGCTTGTCTCATCTTCCCTAAACTTTAGCCTTATAAAATGTTCCTATTTCTTTAAGATTCTACTCTCACTTTGTGAAACCTGACACTTCCCACCAGCTAAGGAAGTTGTTTCTTTCCTGGTGCTACCATCCCCCACTGGTGCACTTGTCTGTTATGTCACATAATACACTGGACTGTCTCATGTTTTTCCCACTAGATTAAGGAGTGTCTTGGTATCTTTATCTTCGATACTTAGCGTATTACCTTGTACTTGTAGTCAGTAATATTTGTAATTGGTACCCCAGCTTAATAAAAGGACTTACAAGCCCAGTATGCCTTTATCATTATGTTCTTTATAGTTGAACGTATGCGGAATGGGATTGACATCCTGGTTGGGACACCAGGTCGGATCAAGGACCACCTGCAGAACGGCAAGCTAGATCTTACCAAACTTAAGCACGTTGTCCTGGATGAAGTTGACCAGATGTTGGATATGGGGTTTGCCGATCAAGTGGAAGAGATTTTAAGTGTGGCATACAAGAAAGGTAAACTCAAAGTTCAAGGAATTGATAAAAGGGATAAAAAGGGTGGTGATTATGTAGTTTTCTAAGAGTTAAATGAAGTTTTAGGAAATTGGGAAGTGACTAATTTTATTCAGGAAAACTTGAATTAAGTGTAATTCATGATTTATTATAAATGGGAAAATTTTTAGGAAATAGGAAATTTCATATCTACAAGTTTGGTGTACTTGACTTTTGCTGTATTTCTTCCTGACTTTGTGCTATTGTGTATAAGTATGTGTGTGTATGTTAATATAACCTTACTATACATATAAAGATTTGGCATAATAGTCTGTGAAGTAGTTGTGCCATGATTTAATTCTGTCTATGTGTATTAATTTCTAGATAATGTAAATAATTCTGCTTACAAACATTTTGGTGCAGATAGCTTCCTTTCATAGCACAGAATCTGGAATTATTTCTTTTAAAAAAAAATTTTTTTTTCTTTACTGATTTGAGAGAGAGAGGAAGGGAGAGGAAGAGAGAGATAGAAACATTGATGAGAGAGAACACTGATTGGCTGCCTCCTACATGCCCCCACTGGGGATTTGGTCCACAACCTGGGCATGTGCCCTGACTGGGAATTGAATCGGCAACCTCTTGGTGCCTGGGTCGACCCTCAATTACAGAGCCTCAGCGGCTGGGCTGGAATTAGTTCTGTAGGATAGTTTTCTAGAAGTGAAATTACCGAGTTGAAAGGTATGAATAGTTCATGCTCCCCAATATACATTGTCAAGTTGCTCTCCGAAAGGGTTCTACCAGCTTGTACTGCCATTTGAAATATGTGAAAGTGAATTGCTGTTTTTCACTAGGTAGGATTTGTCTTAATGTTCTGATTTCCCTTGTGGGTCATAAAGGCCAATGGTCAGAAAGCAAAAGAAGTTTAAAGTGCTTTTGCTATTTCAAGGATCCTTTACATAAATTATTTAGGCAATGTGTCTTTGCCTGTTGGTAACCTCTGTGTCTTTCATTTTTGTGTCCTCAATGCCTAGCTTGGCCTAGTGGTTGCTGTAGAGTGTTAATGGACCCTGGAAGAACTGGGTGAGGTCGAATACTATGTAGGCTTGTTTGGGTTATTCATACTAACTGTTTTCCCCCCCAAAGATTCAGAAGACAATCCCCAAACACTGCTTTTTTCTGCAACTTGCCCTCATTGGGTATATAATGTTGCTAAGAAATACATGAAATCTACATATGAACAGGTGGACCTGATTGGTAAAAGGACTCAGAAAGCTGCAATAACTGTGGAGGTAAATGATTCGTTTAGTTGCTGGAATTAGTAATAAATTGTATATAACTTTTTCCCTTGTCTGATTCTGATAGTTGTAAGACTGGCAAATACAAACTCTTTTTCTAGATTAATACAAATCCATATGAAAAGCCAAGTAAACATATTTGTTTGAGTTGTATTGGCGTCTGTGTTTTCTAAATTTCATTAAGAGCCTGATTTCAGAATCTTTTGGAACTTAAATCTTTCTGAATATTCTAAACAGAAATTACCTCTAGGCTTTAAACACTAGAAGGCGGTGGAGAAATCCAGTGCTTTGTGTTGAAGCAGTTTTCATTTTAGGGTCCAGTACCTACCTGAATTCATTTCACCCAAGGAATAGATGTGTACAGTACCTGACTACTGATTGCATTTTTTAAGTGGGTGAAGGGACAGCACATACAGAAACATTTCTTTTGTTAGTTATTTGGTTTCCCGAAAGAACCTGAACGTTATTTCTTTTCCTACGTTTTCATGGTTATATCAGAAAATAGATAAAGAAGTCAGATGCTCTTTGGAGAAAGGGAAAGGGCTCTCTGCTTTCATGGTTTAGCCTTTTCTCTCAACAGTGGTGGTATAAGTCTGCTCTACTGCCTTTCGTGGTGAGCAGGAGATTTCAGGTTCCAGCCAGGGTTTATGAAATTGATCTTTCTTTTCCCTCTCTTTTAAGCATCTGGCTATCAAGTGCCACTGGACTCAGAGAGCAGCAGTTATTGGGGATGTGATCCGAGTGTACAGTGGTTTTCATGGGCGCACTATCGTCTTCTGTGAAACCAAGAAGGAAGCCCAGGAGTTGTCTCAGAATGTGTCCATAAAGCAGGTTGGTCCTTCCTTTCCCTTGCCTTTAGGGAGGAAGTGTCTTTTAGCTAAGAGTCAGGGTATACATGTTAGAGCTCACCTAATCTATCTGTCTCATCTCAGAGATGAGGAAAAGGTGTGGCTTAAGCCAAGGTTACACCAGCTAATAGATGTGATCACATCACTCTTATCTGGTGTTCTGTTCTGTACCTTGTGAAGTATAGGTGATTTAATGACCAAGACTGGAAATGGTTTTGAGGCTTGTCCATATTTTCTTTTCCCTTTGTATAAAATAATACATCAGAGGTATCACTAGAATATGAATCTCTTCAACACCCTCACAGGTGATTTAAAAAGTACTCGTATTGTTGGATCCGGTATTCTTAAGCTAGTTTATTTCTTTGGCAGGATGCCCAGTCATTACACGGAGACATTCCACAGAAGCAAAGGGAAATCACCTTGAAAGGTTTTAGAAATGGAGATTTTGGAGTTTTGGTTGCAACCAACGTTGCTGCGCGTGGGTTAGATATCCCTGAGGTTGATCTAGTTATACAGTGTTCTCCACCAAAGGTAAGTGTTTTATGTTTTGGTTTTACTTTGTTATTTCTTTTGGGTACTAGAACAAAATGAAAGTTGTATTATTTACTTTCATGTGATTAATAATAGCTGTTTCTTGAGTGTAAGGGTGATTTTAAAATTTACTGTGAGGCCCTCCCCTCAGAACTGACAGTTGAGTGCAAGTGTGATCACTGGCCAGAGGCTGAAAACATAATTTCTGGATAGAGGGTGAGTCCTGGAAGGCTTCACGGAGGTAGTGCAAATTTGAGCTGGACTTCGAACATAGGTAAGACTTAGATGGGGTCGGGGTAAGATGGATAAACTTATGAGCTAGAAGATAGAGAAGGGAGAGAAGAGCATTGTAGTCAACAGCCTCTGTGGTTTGAACTGCTGAGTTTTGTGGGAAATGGGAACCTCTCATGGAGGGCCCTGAAACGTAATTTATGTGGTGTGGACAGTACTTCACATAAATAAAAGCTGGTGGGAAGGAGCCTGTTTACATCACTTCATTTCCCTCCAGACTTGCAAATCAGGATTAAAGGTTGTTTACAATTATGGAAAAAATACCTGATTACTGTGAAGTCATCAATTCTTATAAAGGAAGTCGTCCTGTTAGTGTGTGGCATAGACATTGCTTAAAAGAGCCTGCAGATCTGTGCTGTCCGACATGACAGCCACAGCCAGGTGGGACTGTTGGACACTTGAAATGCACCTAGTCTGAATTGACGTGTGCTACAAGTATAAAACAAGTTGGAATGTTTTCTGTTTTTAACTTTTATACACACTGGTTTTGAAGACATGAAAAAAGAATACAAAATATCTCATTTGATAACTTGTTTTAAATACATAACATATTGAAGTGAGAAAACTTTTGGGCATATTGAGCTAAATAAAATAATATCAAAATTAATTTAACCTTTTTGTTTTACTTTTTAGTGTGGTTACTAGAAAATTACAGATTGAAATTACATATGGTTCTGTTGGACAGCACTATTTAGACGATGCTTTGTGGAGATTTGCCCACATGGTTAAGGACTATTGTTCTAGAGGTTTTGAAAAATTATCACAATACTTAAATTTTTTTTAAAAAATTGATTTGATAGAGGAAGAGGGAAAGAGAAAAATTGATTTGTTGTTCCACTTACTTACGCATTCATTGGTTGATTCTTGTATGTTCTCTGACTGGGGATTAAACCCACAACCTTGGTGTGCTGGGACGGTGCTCTAACTAACTGAGCTACCTGGACAGGGTTTTAATTTTTTTTCTTAAATTTACTTTATTGGATGACATTGGTTAATAAAATTATATAAGTTTTAGGGGGTACAATTCCATAATATACCACCTATATATTGTGTGTTCACCACCCCAAGTCAAGTTTCCTTCCATCACCAATTATCACTTTACCCTCTCAGACCTCCCCCCACTCCCATTTCCCTCTGGTCATCACCATACTGTTGTCTATGAGGTTTTGTCTTTTTTGTTTTTTGAGTTTTGTACTCCCTCCCTTAAGCCCTTCACCTTTTCCACCCAACCCCTAACCCCCACCCCTCTGACAGTTTGTCAGTCTGTTCTCTGTATCCGTGAGTCTGTTTCTATTTTGTTAGTTTATTATTTTTTTTTATTTTTAAATTCTCACCTGAGGGTATTTTTCCATTTATCTTCAGATAGACTGAGAGGGAGGGAGAGAGCAAGAGAAACATCAATGGGAGAGAGGCACATTGACTGGTTGCCTCCCGCATGGCCTGACCAGGGCTGGGGACGAACTGCAGCCGAGGTATGTGCCCTTGACCGGAAATCCACTTCTTCAGTCTGTGGGCTGATACTCTAACTGCTGAGCCAAATTGGCCAAGGGCTTGTTAGTTTATTTTGATAATACTTTAATATAAATTGAAAGGCCAGGGAATCTCCTCCCTCATACCCCTGACATTACCAACACTCTTGCATCTGTTTAGATTGCTCATGTTTTTGTCTCTCTTTGTTCTTGTCATCCATGTATTTTACTTCGATAGGATGTGGAGTCCTACATTCATCGTTCTGGGCGAACGGGAAGAGCTGGAAGAACTGGGATTTGCATCTGCTTTTATCAGTACAAGGAGGAATATCAGTTAGCACAAGTGGAGCAAAAAGCGGTAAAACTATTTTCTTAGCCTTATTCAGCGTGTGTTGAACACTAAAGTCAGTCTTTGGTTGTCTTTGGTTTCTTTACTTGATTTTTATTAACTTGAAAGTAGTTTTATTTCCAGCATGTGACCATGAGTGATAGCTTGTTGTTAGACACATGTTTATACATTGTTCTACGATGTAAAACCCATTTTGAAATAACTTTGCATTTGGAAGCAGTGGTTTTATTTTCATATTTACAATTATAAGGAGTGTTTTATGTTAGTCAGTTTTTAGACAATGATAACATGAACACAGAAATATTTAAACATGGATTAGACGGTTAAAGAAATTCTTCTGTAAGGACATTTGTATAGGTGCTTCCTCCTCCAAAAGGTGGAGCTTCATCTCCCTTCCTTGAGTGGACTGAACTTAGTGACTTGCTCACAAAGAATAGAGTTGGAGTGGTGGGGCAGGAGAGATTTGACAGTGCTAGAAGCAGGGCAACACTGCCTGGCCAGGTGATCATGGTTGACATGAGTCATAAGCATGTGGCCCTGGGACAATGAGATGAGTTGGTACTCACCTGTGGTCTTCTTCCCCCAAATCCAATGACCCCAATCTAAGCATATGAAAACTATCAGACAGCCTAATTGAGGGACAGTCTGCAAAATACCTGACCAGTACTCCTTAAAACTGTCCAGGTCCCACAGATCAGGGGAGACTAAGATGATGTGATGATTCGACGTAATATAATATCCTGGATAGGATATAGGAACAGAGAGGTTTTTACTAGAAAAACTGGTGAAATTTGAATGAACTCTGAAGTTCATATTAAAGTAGCAATTGGGTTTCTTACTTGTGACAAATGTACCGTATTAGTAACAATAAGAAAACTTGGTGCATGGTATATAGGAACTCTGTAAATCTAAAACCATTCTTAAATAAAAATTTTATCTTATAAATATGTGTTTGGTAAATATAAAAAGTTAGAGGACTACTAATCTCAGTGGGCCAGTTAATGACCACACTATGTATTAAACTATGGTTCGTTTTCTTGTAGGGAATTAAGTTTAAACGAATAGGTGTTCCTTCTGCAACAGAGATAATAAAAGCTTCCAGCAAAGATGCAATCAGGTATGTTTCCTAACAGTGCTGTGGTCTGTTTCAGCATATGCTCTGTTGACAGCATATCTTTGAGTAGTAATGAGATTTGGCCTTTTAAAATGTATTTTCTTCTCTTGTTTTTTTTTTAATCCTCACCCAAGGACATTTTCACATGTATCTTCAGATAGAGTGGGAGGGAGAGAGAGAGAGACATCCATGTGAGAGAGACACAACGAGTGGTTACCACCCACACGACCCCAGACGGGGCCAGGGACAAACTGCAACCGAGGTATATACCCTTAGCAGGAACCGAACCTGGGGCTTTCCAGTCCATGGGTTGACACTCTAACCGCTGAGCCAAACCGGCCAGGGCTAAAATGTATTTTCTTTATTCATTATTTTTAACAATTTATTTTTATTTTATTTTTTTCTATATTGATTTTAGAGAGAGAGAAAGGGAGAGAGCGATTGAAACATCGATGAGAGAGAACATCGATTGGCCGCCTCCTGCATGCCCCCCACTGGGGATTTGGCCCGCAACCTGGGCATGTGCCCTGACCAGGAATCGAATCAGCCACCTCTTGGTGCATGGGTTGACACTTAATCACTGAGCCATACTGGCTGGGCAGTTGTTAACAATTTATAATCCTCTTGTTATAAAAACACAAATGGTGCTGAAATAAAATGATGCAAAGTAGAAATCCCTCATCTCTGTGCATCCTTGCCTAATCCTGTTCATTATTGGAAACCACTGTTAATAGTTTGGTTTGTCTGAGGCAGTTTAAGAAACTATATCTCATATATGGTGTAGGTATTTTCCATCTGGAGACTGATTAGACTGGATCGCAGATAATATTCCCAGCCTTCATTAATCCACTTACCCTCCTGGTAGGAATGAGAGTTGATTATTTAAATTTTAGTAAATATCTACATAGGATTAAATTAACAGGGTTTGTCATTGGAGAGTAAATAAATTTTTTTATTGCGTGGGTTTGTCCTACAAAATGAAGAATATTTAGCTGTTTGGTATTCCAATTGTTTAGTGTGTATTCTTGAGTGTGTATTCTTGGGGGTGAGTAGGGTTGGCATGAAAACCATAAAGGACTTGTTTTCTAGATGTTCCCTGCTTAGGCCAGATTCTGAGCATCATTTTTAGAATGCTTTCCACAATTACATATAATTATGTGACATGCTTATTAAAAAATAGACAGGGGACCCTGGCCTGTGTGACTCAATTGGTAGGAGTATTGTCTCATACACTGAAAGGTCATAGGTTAGATCCCTGTTTGAGGTGTGTATGGGAAGCAACTGATCCATGTTTCTCTCATCCCTTCCATCTCTGAAATAAATTTTTAAAAAAATAGACAAGGGGAGTTCATGATCAAAACAAATGCTGGATATTCTGCAAAGGAAAATAATTTTAACTCAGCATTTTTCAAATTTATTTTAGTGTACTTTTCTTTAAACATCCTGCAAACAGGGTTTCCTATGACACCAGTTAAATTTTGGGGTGAGATGGCTAGGAAGAAGGAAAGAGACAAAGACGCTGGTGGTGGTGTGTGGGAGGTGGCCTTGAGGGGCAAGCCTGTCAAACGAGGCTGCCCCCTGCAGCCTTGTTCATCCTTGTCCTGGATGATCTCTTCAAGTTTGAGATGTGACATTTATTATTCACTGAGATAATAGTGACTCCCTAATAAATATATAGTCTCATAAAGGCTTGTATCATTTTTTTTTCATTTTTTTTTTTTTTAATCCTCACTTAAGGACATTTTTCCATTTTTTGTTCAGATAGAGTGGAAGGGAGAGAGAGGAAGAGAGAGAAACATCGACGTGAAAGGGACACATCGAGTGGCTGCCACCCGCATGACCCAACCAGGGCCGGGGACAAACCACAACCAAGGCACATGCCCTTAGCAGGAACCAAACCCAGGTCTCTCTGGACCGCAGCTCTAACTGCTAAGCCAAACCAGCCAGGGCAAGGCTTGTATCATTTTTAACCTAATTTGGGAGTCTTTTTTTTTTTTTCTCTTTTATTTCAGAATGGAAATGGCTATAGTATTTTTTTGATTCTAAAAGTAACACTTGCTTATTATAAACAACGTACAGCATTTATTAACATCAGGTTTAATGGCAGCATGGCATTTCATTGTGTCTGTTTCATGGTTTATTGAACCAGCGCAGTTTAAAACTGTACACTTTTTAAACTGTACATTGATGGACATTTTAATATCTTATTATTTCCTTTGGATGAAACATTGTTTGGTGGTAAGTTAGAATTATATACAATCAAAGGAGTAGATTTACTACAGAAATGTGATAATTATATAAATTACATCAAAATGATGTGTTAGACATATGAAAAATCTTGTTTGAAAGTTACTGATGTATATTGAGATGTTGTCTTGGAAATGAAATTTGTCCACTTCTACTCTCCTCCTAACAAATATATTTTCAATCAAACCACAGGTTTTTGGATTCTGTTCCTCCCACTGCTATTAGTCACTTTAAGCAGTCGGCTGAGAAGCTGATCGAGGAGAAGGGAGCCGTGGAAGCCCTGGCGGCGGCGCTAGCCCATATTTCAGGGGCCACGTCTGTAGACCAGCGCTCCTTGATCAACTCGGAGGCGGTAAGGTCCCTGTCAGATATCTGATGCTTTGTAATTTGGAGTATGAACAGGATTTGACAGTATTCCACTTAAATGTCACAGTTGTTCCAACTCTTAAAATTTATTTTATTTTTCAATTACAGCTTACATTCAACATCATTTTCTGTTAGTTTCAGGTGTGCAGCATAGCAGTTAGACGGTCGCACACTCTACGAAGTGGTCCCTTTGATAATCCCAGTACCCATCTGGCACCATACATAGTTAATACAATGATTTTGACTACCCCAATTGGTTTAACTTTTGCATGAAGGTAGATGTATATAAACAAATCCATAGAGATGTAAAGTAGATTAGGGTTGCCAGTGTCCTGGGAAAAGGAGGAAATGGCAGTGACTACTAATGGGCATGGACAGGATTCTTTTTAGGGGGATGAAATGTTCTGAAATTTTAGATAGTGTTGATGGTTGCAAACTTTGTGAACAAATGAAAAAACCCTGTATGGTATACTTTAAAATGGTGAATTTTGTGGTTATGTGAATAATATCTCAAAAAAAATTTTTCTTTCCTTTATTGATTTTTTTAGAGAGGAAGTGAGAGGGGGTAGAGATATAGAAACATCAATGAAAAAGAACATCAATTGGCCGCCTCCTGCATGCTCCCCACTGAGGATCTGGCCCACAACCTGGGCATGTGTCCTGATTGGGAATCAAACCAGTGACCTTTTGGCGCAAGGGTTGATGCTCAACCACTTGGACTATATCTCAACATTTTTAAATCCTAAAATATACTCACACGTACAGATGTATAAAATACATTTGTCCAGCATACCTAGAAACTTTAGCCGTGTATTCTTTTCGGTTTCTTTTTTGAAATTTTTGAAATAACTCTAGGTTCACATGTTGTAAGAGATGATGTAGGGAGATCCCTGTGCACTTCCCCCAGTTTCATGGTAACAGTTTGCAAAACTCGAATACCACAATAGGGTTACTGACATTGGCACGATCCACCTATCTTATTCAGTGTTCCTCAGTTTTACTTGTACTTATTTGGGGGTGGGGGGCAGTATATCCTTTTAGGGAAGATTTTTCCAGAAATATTTTAGAAACATGAGGGCAGGTGTTTATCAGTTAGGTTTGTTTCTCAGACTTTAATTTTGTTCCCCTTTTTTCCAAAGGGCTTTGTGACCATGATCTTAAAGTGCTCAATTGAAATGCCAAACATTAGTTATGCTTGGAAAGAACTTAAAGAGCAACTGGGTGAAGATATTGATTCCAAAGTGAAGGGAATGGTCTTTCTCAAAGGAAAGCAGGTAAGGAAGGCAGGGACCTCTGTTATGACCTTGCTTTGGTTCAGTAGCTTTATGAGGGCAGTAAAACACTGTGTGATGGTTTCTCCCTGTTCTGCCCGGATGCTACATCTTTTCATTCTCTATATAATTTTCTCTTGGCACTGTCAACCATGAACCTCAGTTCCATGCAGTCACTGACAACCACTCCATCTGAATCTCCAGCCTGAACCATCTGTATCTAGTCTTGGACTTGAAGCTCCAGCTGCTTCCCTGACATCTCCACTAAGATGGGGCTTATTAAGCAACTTAAAACAAGTATTCAAAGTTGAATTAATAATCTTTAATTCAGATTCATAATTTTAAATACTGCTTTCCAAAATTGGTGTTCTTTCTTCTGAGTCCTGCTCTCAATTAATGGTATGGACCAGCAGAGCAGCTCTCAAACATTTTGGTCTCATGACCCCTTTACATTCTTAACAAATGTTGGGGACATCAAGAAGCTTTTGTTCATGTGGGTTATGTCTATTGCTATGTCTATTGCTATTTTCCATATTAGAAATTAAAACTGGAACTCTAAAACAAGAATATCATTTCAACTAGTCACCAGAGCAACATCACATGTCATGTAGTGTCTGGAAAACTCCACTGTACCCTTATGAAAGAATGAGAGTGAAAAGGACATAACATTTTAGTATTATGAAAATAATTTTGACTTTGTGGAACCCCCAAAAGATCTCAGGGTTCCAGGGGTACATGGACTATACTTGGAGACCCACTGGCCTGGTGAACCAAATCAAGTTTTCTTTCAACTCATTACATGTCTGAAATGTTGGTTACCTCCTTAACTCTACATGATGTAAAATAAAGTCCCAGCTTTCCCATGAAGGATAAGATCCTTCATTAGTTGGCTCCTGCCCCTCATACCAACTTCATCTCTGCCTCCTCACCACCAACACCCTCCTGCACTCCAGCAATGCCAAGTGCACCTTATTTCTCTCATCCTAGGTGCATGCTGAACCCACTGATTATAGTGTTTCTTCATTCAGGGTGTCCTGTATGACTTGGCTTAGCCCTAAGTCTCCCTGTGAAGCTTTCCCTGGCCATACATCAGAGTTGGGGCATCTTTATCTGTACTGCAGAGTTCTGGTTTATTTTTTTAAATTATTGATTTTATGGAGAGGAAAGGAGGGAGGGGGAGAGGAAAGGATGGAGGGAGAGAGAGAAAGAGAAATATCGATGTTAGAAACATAGATTGGTTGCCTCCTGCTTGTGCCCCAACTGGGGATCACACTAGCAACCTGGGTTTGTGCTCTGACTGGGAATTGAACCTGCCACCTTTTGGTGTACGGCAGCAGTTCTCAACCTGTGGGTCGCAACCACTTTGGTGGTCAAACAACCCTTTCACAGGGGTCACCTAAGACATAACAGTAGCAAAATTACAGTTATGAAGTAGCAACGAAAATAATTTTATGGTTGGGGGGGGTCACCACAACATGAGGAACTCTATTAAAGGGTTGCAGTGTACGGGATGACACTCCAACCAACTGAGCCACGTTGGCCAGGACTGTACTGCAGAGTTCTTAGGGCATACCTTTATTCAGGTATATTTTACTTGCTGTGCTTGCTGAGAGCCTCAAGAACACTATAACCTACTTGAGGACAAAGACTATTTTCTTTTTTTTTTTTTTGGTACATGTCCCTAGCGGGAACCGAACCGGGGACTCTGGTCCGCAGGCTGACGCTCCAACCGCTGAGCCAAATCGGCCAGGGCTAACGACTATTTTCTAGTTATCTCTATAAGCCAGTAAGTGCCTGGCATTGAATACTTAGTAAACATGTAAATGAAGATTCCCACAAATGGCAAAATCCATCAGTACCTTTGGTTATAACTGGGGAAAGTACTGGGTTGAACCGGTGTTCCTCATAAAACCTTGCAATTACAGACAGCCGGGAGGGAGGGGTGCCTGTGTCAGTTGCTGGGGTAGTTTGAATTAGGGTATTTGTGGAGGCCAAGAAACAGAAGGACTTCCTTAATTGGAGATGATATCTCTGCTTATTATCAGTGATAGTGTCCTATATTTAAATTTTTAGAAAACTTTTTCATAGGAGGCTGAATTATGAAAAACTAGAAAATTAACCATAGAAGATCATTTATTTTCCTGGTTTTAGTTAGGCCATTCTGAGTAGTTGACACTCTTTTTTTTTTTTTAATTAATTTATTTTGTTACAGATTTTTCTACTTTTCCCCCCATTGACACCCACCTCCTTTCTCCCATTCCCCACCCCCACCCCCTCCAGTATTTTTGTCTGTGTCCATTGCTTGTGCGAATATAAGTTGTGTGGTTTATCTCTTCCCACCCACCCTCCCTCCCTCTCTCCTTCTGAGGTTTGTCAATCTGTTCCCTACTTCCGTGTCTCTGGGTCTATTTTGTTCATCAGCTTATTTTGTTCATTATATTCCACAAATAAGTGAGATCATGTGATATTTGTCTTTCTCTGATTAGCTTATTTCTCTTAGCATAATACTCTCTAGGTCCCTCCATGCTGTCTCAAAGGGTGAGAGATCTTTCTTACAGCTGCATAGTATTCCATTGTGTTACGACAGCTTTTTTTTGTTTTAGCTTTTTTTTTTTCTTTATTGATTTTAGAGAGAGAGGGAGGGAGAGGGGGAGAGAGATAGAAACATCAATGAGAGAGAACATTGGTTGGCTGCCTCCTGCATGCCCTCCACTGGGGATTGAGTCCTCGACCTCTTGGTGCATGTATCGAAGCTCAACCACTGAGCCACACTGGTTGGGCATCTGCTGATGGGACACTTGTGCTGTTTCCAGATCTTAACTATTGTAAATAATGCTGTTATGAACATAGGGGTACATATATTCTTATTGATTGGTGTTTCAGGCTTCTTAGGATATATTCCTAGAAGTGGGATCACTGGGTCAGATGGCAGTTCAATTTTTAATATTTTGAGGAAACTCCATTGTTTTCCATAGTGGCTGCACCAGGACACTCTTTCTGATGAAAGGCTTTAGACTATAGGTTTTGGAGCCATGCTGACCAGAATTTTTAAATTTTTTTTTTATTCTCACCCGAGGACATTTTTCCGTTTACTCAGATAGAGAGGGAGGGGGGAGGGGGGAGGGGAGGAGGAGGGGGAGAGAGGGAAACATCTATGTGAAAGGGACACATCGAGTGGTTGCAACCCACACGACCAACCAGGGCCGGGGACAAACTGCAACCGAGGTACATGCCCTTAGCGGGAACCGAACCCTGGTCTCTCTGGACTGCAGGCCGACGCTCTAACCGCTGAGCCAAACCGGCCAGGGCATGACCAGAATTTTAAAACCTACCCTTCTTACCAGCTGTGGGGCCTTACCAGCCAGAGACCTTTTTTTAATCAACTCAATAATGACAAACTTACTGCTTTCCCAGGGTTCATTTTTTAATGGACACTTACAAGAAAAAAGTCTAATACACTTCAAACCCTATGAATTAAAACATATTTTTCATTTAAAATTTCTTACCTAGGTACATAATATCCCTTCCACAGTTTTTTTTCCCCATTATTAATAAGGAATATGAGAAGTTATAGAGAATGAAAATGGAAGTGAAAGACACAAAGTGTTTGAGTAAATTATTGATGGCAAAAAAACTAGAAGCCATTTATAAACAGCATTTGCTGATTATACAATTTTGGAATAGTTTAATGCTAAATGTGATATTTATTTTTAATACCTTTTTTGAAAAAGCATAATACCTGGTCACTTGGAGTATCACTTAATGTGCATTTTGTAATTCTAGTCAAAGGCTGGATTAACATGTATTTGTTTTGATTTCTAGGGTGTTTGCTTTGATGTCCGAACTGCAGCAGTAACAGAAATACAGGTATTTTTTTCTCTTGGATTTTGAAGTTAACATATCTAAGTTACAAAATGTTCATTATTGAAAAGATAGAATAATAGAAAGGAAAGAACTCTAGTCCCTTTACTAAAAAACAATTAAGAATTTTAGTATTTTTCTGCTAACATTTTATACTTACATATATATTTTGTTGTTGTTGTTAATCTTCACCTTAGGAGATATATATTTTATGATCCTCACCCGAGGACATTTTTCCATTTTTTGTTCAGGTAGAGTGGGAGGGAGAGAGGAACAGAGAGAGAGGAACATCAACGTGAAAGGAACACATCGAGTGGTTGCCACCTGCACAACCAACCAGGGCCGGGCACAAACTGCAACCGCGGTACGTGCCCTTAGCGGGAACCGAACCCAGGTCTCTCTGGACCGCAGGCCGATGCTCTAACTGCTGAACCAAACCGGCCAGGGCACCTTAGGATATTTTTTCAGTTGGTATTTATTTATTTATTTATTTATTTATTTATTTATTTATTTATTTATCTAAATCCTCACTTGGAGATATTTTTCCATTTCTCTTCAGATAGAGTGGGAGAGAAAGGGGGGAGGGAGAGAGAGAGAGAAGAGGGAGAGAGAAACATCGATTAGTTGCCTCCTGCACAACCCCAACCAGGGCTGGGACCAAATTGCAACTGAGGTATGTGCCCTTGACCAAATTGAACCCATAACCCTTCTGTATGAGGGCTGATGCTCTAACTGCTGAGCCAGACCGGCCAAGGCCTGATATTTTTTCTTGTTCAGCCTTTCTGTTTTCCTTTCAACAGAGTTGTGAACCATATCCAGCTTTTCCCCCCATAGACGTTATGTGGGGTTTACATAAACATTTAGTTGCTATTTCTTTATTCATACTGCTGTGAGAAACATGTTTGTACATGATATATTTATGTTTTCTACCTGACAGCTTTGGCTGCCCTATAGTAATTGAATTGAATAAATGATACTGTAATAATGATTCACTATGAGAGTACTTTTTTTCCTGAGGACATTTTTGCATTCATCTTTAGATAGAGCGGGAGGGAGAGAGGAAAGGAGAGAGAGAGAGAGAACCAATGACATGAAAGAGACACCTCGAGTGATTACCACCCACACGACCCCCCAACAGGGGCCAGGGACAAACTGCAACTGAGTTACATGCCCTTAGCGGAAACCGAACCCAGGACCCTCTGGTCTGCGGGCCAACGCTTTAACCACTGAGTCAAAACGGGCAGGGTGAGAGTACTTCTTAATAGTGAAACTTATTTTTCCCCATTTTAGTGACTGGCTTTTGGGCCGTGAAGGTCAGTATTTTTGGCCAGTGACCTTTTAAGCACTTAGGTTATCAGTCTGGTTTTTCTCTTTGAGAAAGGGCAAAGTCTTGTCTTTTTATTCTTTTTTAAACCAAATTCAATTAAAAAAATCAAAGAGGTAAAAACAAAAGCATCTCTCAACAGGAAAAATGGCACGATTCCCGGCGCTGGCAACTCTCTGTGGCCACAGAGCAGCCGGACCTGGAAGGACCACGGGAAGGATACCGAAGCTTCAGGGGACAGCGGGAAGGCAATCGAGGTTTTAGGGGACAGCGAGAGGGAAACAGAAACTTCAGGGGACAGCGGGACGGAAACAGAAACTTCAGAGGACAACGATCAGGAGGTGGCAACAGAAATAACAGATTTCAAAACAAAGGCCAGAAACGGAGTTTTAGTAAAGCATTCGATCAGTAATTGAAGTAGAAGATTTATATGGCAAAACAGAACTATGTTTGGCAACATGGAACTGAACTTTTTTTTTTCATACAAAGTTAAACGCACATTGTGTTTCCTTCCTGACCACTTGCCTCGCCCCATCTCTTCCAGAGAGATAAGCTTCATCCAAATTACTTCATCTGGTGATTGTCATTTATAACTATTGCTACTTCTGTATCCGATTTTCCTTGTGAAAAGGTGTATGAATTCATTGCATTTTTATTCTAATGCATTTTTATAGATTATAAGTTAAAGTCAAGCAGATATCTGCCTATACTTAATAAGTTGACCTGTTTTTATACTTAAAAGTATCTCTTAATAGCATTCTTTCCTAAATATCTATGCAAAATGCAACAGTTTCTGAAGAAGCACTTTGTTCTGTAATTGGCATTTCTCAGCCACCTGCCGAACAATTCCTTGTGTGGGTCCTATAACATGTCTTCTGAGAATTAATACTGGGTTTTGAAGCAAGATTTCAAACTTAGCTTGGATGTAATAAAGTTTATGCCAGCCTCGGCTCTAGATTTGGAGAATGGTGATACATTTGACAGGATACATTATGTAGATTAGTCATCATTGTGTGCATTGTGATGCATTTTTATTTCTAATATAAGGTGATTTGTGCTTCAGTGAATTCTTCACACTATACATCTATATATCTGTATGTATATATAACAGTATTTTAAAACAAATGTGTTTAAAAAATTCTAAATGTATAAGATGTCTCCATAACTTTCTTCACAAGTAAGGAGGCTGGATAAATGGGGCTTGATGATAATGTATTCCACTTCTATTGGAAGGTAACATTATTTACCAAGAAGGAATTAAGGGAGTAGCAGACAGAGATTTACACTGCTGAAGAATCAACAACAAAACCACTGCAAATGTATTTCGTATGCGAGAAGGAAGTGACTGTTGAGAGCAAAGAGAACAAGTAAAGATGCATGATAAAGTATTTAATTGGTGAAAATTTAATGGGTCATTAATGTTTCTGGAGGTTAATGTCTAATGGGCAAATTGGGATTTTTGGGTAGATTGATCTGGTTTAGTTACTCAAAGGCCTATTCCTATAGCCACAGTATAGGAATCTTTTTCTATTAGACTGCTACTCCGCTGGGAGGTTTTAGCTGCTTAGGAAACTTTTTTTTTTTTTTTTTTAATTTTTAGCCAACGATAGTTTTCTGTTTATCTCCAGATAGGACGGGAGGGAGAGATAGAGAAACATCGACATGAGGGACACATCGACTGGTTGCCTGCCTCCTCCCGCACCACCCCAACCAAGCCAGGGACAAACCACAACTGAGGTACATTCCCTTGGCCGGAATCGAACCCGCAACTCTGGTCCACGGGCCAATGCTCTACCGCTGAGCCAAACTGGCCAGGGTGCTTAGGAAATTTTTTAAAGACAAACTATGTAGTTATTTTAAGTTATTGCTTTGAAGGAACTGGAGAAATTGATATAGTTGCTGGCCAGATAACTCTCTTGAGTTCTCAAATATTACTTCCCTGAGAAACCTCTGCACGATCCAGGAATTTTAGAGTGGCATTGTCTTCTCCCCTTAATTCCTAGAAATTCTGGACTGGGAATCTCAGGGAATAAACTATGATGATAAGTTCAACTACATTGCTTATCTTGTTTTTATTTAATTATTTTGAATAATTAAACTCTAGGACCTGGTTTCTCTGATTTAGTCGAGTCTTTATAGTAACTGCCTTTTAACTGACCCCCTTGCAGTAAGGAGCTTAGATAGCCAACTCAGCTGATTCTTGAGGCAATGCCCTTTATCTGTTTGGGCATCAGTTCCATCTATGAATCGACTGGATGTCCTCTGTTCTCAGAAATTCTCTTGGCTTTTATTCCTTGATCCACTCGTCAGTGTCACCACATTTCCTCCTGTTCCTCGTGGCTTCCTGTCAAGCCACGGATGTAGGGGAAGGTGTTTGATGACAGAGAACTCATGTGCCTTGTAGATTACAATGTATTCGATTCTGGTTTTGCTCTAACAGCATATTTTGATAACAACCAAAACATTTCACAGTTTGGGTAGAAATGGGTACTTTATCAAGCAGATTAAAAGGACACAGTACCTGTCCTTTATTAAAACCCTGAGTGGATTAGCCTAAAAGGAAAATAATCAGGCCTAAATCAAGAGTAAGGGGGATGATTATTGGATATTTCACTTTATGCAACTTAATTTTAAGGAAAGCATGGCTATGGCTGTTTCAATAAATGAAGCTCAAGTTTCTTCTGGATCCTAGATTTCAAATTATATTTATAAATGTGTAATTCAGCTACTGCTTGCTTAAAATGGGGCTAGCCTGGGGAATGTTGTCATTTTTACGTTTTCTATGGAGAAAATATTTTCCAATTTATGAAATCAATGAACCTTTAAAATACAGCCCATTTTTACATTAGAATTATCTGTGCAGTGGTTTCTTTACAATTGTACATAAAATGTTTTTACTACAAAATTGAGTTAATGTATAAAGTACTACTTTATGCCATAATAAAGGTATTAGTACTTTTTTATGTTTTTGGTGACTTTTTTCCTAAAATTGAAAATAGCTTGAAAATTTTATTTTGAAAATAGATGATGGGTGTAAAAATTCAAACATAGGAGAAAAAAGTAACTAATAGTCACCCCATATCAGTTTTGTGAATTGCTGTTCCCCCCTCAACACGTTGTGCACACTTTTCTGTAAGTGTAGCCCTAGACATTTTGATAACTGGTATCTCACTGTATATTTGACCAGGACTCTGTAGATGGCCATGTTGGTTATTTGTAAGTTTTTACTATTATAAACAACCTACAATGAGTGTCCTTGTAGAAATCTTTGCTTATTTGTCTTGTCTATTTAGGATAAGTTTTCTAAAAGAATTTCAGGGTCAAAGTGAATGTGTATTCAATTTTGGTGCAAGTTGTCGCCAAAGCAGTACCAGTTTCCAGTCCCACCTTACAACGAATGAGAGAGCCTGTTTCCCCACAGCAATGGAGCCCTGGATTTTGGCTAGCTTTTGTCAGTTTGTTAGGTACAAAATGACATTGTATTTACATATATACATATACGTACACACAATCTATATATATTTATGCCTGGGTTGTGGGTTCGATACCGAGTAGGGGGCGTGCAGAAGGCAGCCAACTGATGTTTCTGTTACATTGATGTTTCTGTTTGTCCCTTTCTCTCTCTAAAAAAATCAATTAAAATTTATAATATATATATATATATATATATATATATATATATATATATTAGAGAGAAAAGTAGAGGGAGAGAAAAACATCGATGAGACATCAATTGGCTGGCTGCCTCCTGCATACCCCCCACCAGGGATGGAGCCTACATCTGGGAAGTGTGCTCTGACCAGGAATCCGACCTGGCCACCCCTTGGTGCCTGGAAAGACGCTCAACCACTGAGCCACACTGGTCAGGGCTTGTATCTTATTTTCTTCTTTATTTATTTTTAAAGAGAGGAAGGGAGAAGGAGAGATGGAAACATCGACAAGAGAGAACATCAATTGGCTGCCTCCTGCATGCCCCCTGTTGGGGATCGGGCCCACAACCTAGGCATGTGCCTTGACCAGGAATTGAGCCGGTGACCTCTTGCTGCATGGGTCAGTGCTCAACCACTGTCCAACACTGGCCAGGCAGGGCTTGTATCATTTTTATTTGCATCTTTTAATTGAATGAGAGATAATATCTCCCATTTATTCACCACTTGCATTAAAAAATTACCCTATATATTTGTCTTTTTTTCTACTGGGAACTGCCTCTTGTTAAGTTCTTTATTAGTAGTGAATGTATCATATAGCAAATACTTTTTTGAAATTTATTTTGTCCTTTAACTGTGTGGGATTTTTTTTTTTTCGGTACATGCCCCTAGTGGGAACCGAACCTGGGACTCTCTGGTCCGCAGGCCGACTCTCCAACTGCTGAACCGAACCGGCCAGGGCTGGGATGTTTTGATGTAAGAAAGTTTAAATGCAATTGTTAACTATTAATCTCTTATCATTTCTGGCTGTTTTATGCTTGAAAAGTATTCCCCACTTCCAGAGTGATAAAAATTTCACTCATGTTTTCTTCTAGAACTCTTGATTATATTTCAGTCTTTAATTCATCTGGGATTTCATGAAGGATCAAGTAGGGATCTAGCTTTATTCTCCCCTCCTTGCCAGATGACTAGTAATTCCACATCATTTACTGAATAATTCATCTTTTTCTCATTGATTTTTAAATGCTATCTTTACTATATATTTTAATTGGAGACAAGTCTTTTTTTGCCTTAAAATTTTTTCAATTACAGTTGACATTCAGTATTATTTCATATTAGTTTTAGGTGTACAGCAAAGTGGTTAGACATTTATATAATTTACAAAGTGAGCCTGGCCGGTGTGGCTCAGTGGATTGAGAGGCATCCCATGTACTGAGAGGTCCCGGTTCGATTCTGTCAGGGCACATGCCCGGGTTATGGGTTCGATACTGAGTAGGGGGCGTGCGGAAGGCAGCCAACTGATGTTTCTGTTACATCGATGTTTCTGTTTGTCCCTTTCTCTCTCTAAAAAAATCAATTAAAATATATTAAAAAATAAAAAGATGAGCCCTGGCCGATTTGGCTCAGCGGTTGGAGCGTCGGCCTGCGGACCAGAGAGTCCTGGGTTTGGTTCCTGCTAGAGGGACATACCAAAAAATAAATAAATAATAAAAAGATGAAGGGCATCATCCTATAGATAATTACTTTGCATTTTGTTTTTTTGTTTTTTTAACATAATATCCACATTCATTCATAGAAAACTTACTCTTTTTTTATTTGTCTTCCATCTGCATCATATTCCATTGTGTGGCCACACATAGCTTATTCAATCATTTCATATTTCTTATGTAAGAGCACGTAATTTTCCTATATTTAACAGTTACAAACGATGCTGCAGTGAGGAACCTTGTGTCTATGTATTTCATACTGTTGGAGGTGCATCTTCAGGGTAGATTCCTAGAAGTGGGATGGCCTAGTCAGAAGGTAAGTGCATATGTAGTTTTTTTTTTATGTATGTATTGACAAATTCCCCTCTAGAAGGGGAATTATTTCCTTGCAATTTAGTTTTTGAAGAAGCCAGGCCATATGTTCTTCTTTATTGTTATGGTTGATTATTTGTAGATTTTAACATACGTTATATACTTTAACCTGTTGTAGTTATTCAGGCTCAAATTGTCCCCTCTGAACAGCAAGAGCTTTTTTTTTAATTGCAAAAACTGAGTCTTAATTTTTAATCTTGAGTTTGATTTACACGTTGCTTTTAGTAAGATGCCAGCATCAGCTGTGCAGAAAGGACTCTGGAGAGAGGTTTTGTGAACATAGCAGCACACACCTGCAGCTCTTTGATTCTGGAGGCTCCAGGACAGCCAGTATTGCTTCATCACATACATTCTTGAGGCCTTTCTGTGTGTGCAGAACATTCTACATACTTGACATCCTTCAGACCATTCGCCAGCTTTTCAGCAGTCTCTGGAGTTACAGGTTTCTGTTTGTTCTTGGCAAGTTTCTCAATAGTAGAGGGGTCATCTTTGAGATTAATTTGAGTCCTAAAAAGCAAGAAAGGAATCTTTGGCCCTGGCCAGTTGCTCAGTGGTTAGAGCGTCGGCCCACGGACTGATGAGTTACAGGTTTGATTCTGGTCAGGGGCATGTACCTTGGTTGCGGTTCATCCCCGGCCCTGGTTGGGTTGTGCAGGAGGCAACCATTTGATGTGTTTCTCTTACATCAATGTTTCTCTCCCTCTCTCTCTCTCCCATCTTTCCTCTCCCTCCCTCCCTCCTTCCCACTCTACCTGATGATAAATGAAAAAATATCCTCAGGTGAGGATTTTTTTAAAAAAGGAGTCTTTGGATAGTGGTAAGTTATCTCAGGCACCCACTTTTCTTTCACATTTTCAAACAATGGAGAGACCACTGAAAAAGACTAGAAATCCATCTGTTTGTGGATAACTCAGCAGTCATAATCCGGTATAATCCCTTTGCCCAGCTGTGTCAAAAAGTCCAAGAGTATATGGCTCTCCACCTATCATAACTGACTGTATAGTTGTCAAAAACTGTCGGTACATACTCAAATGGAAATTTGCTGTGTAGGAGACATGTTTTACCAATGGCACTATCACCCACAACAATGAACTTAATTGTCTACATTGCTGAAACAGTTTTCTATCTATTTTAAAATATTTCAAATCCAGAGATGACCTCAGCTTCTCTGCAAGGGTGTTGGCAGCACTGCCCAAGACCTGCTTTCTCAGTCCTTT